TTATTGTATTCTTTTGATAATTGATAAACTGTTTGTTCCTATTAACAAGTCTTCATACCACTGTTAATAGTTAAATATGTCTCTTTCATAATTGATCATATATAATTCTTTCTATGTATAAACTCTTATATCGTGATTATTTTATCTTAAGATTAGTATTCTTGTAGTTATACTTAGTTTTTGTTATTAGTTTTAGTATTATTTTACCCCGTTGTCTTTGTAAATTGTAGAAGGTTTACACGGATAACAATAGATATCCTGTATTTTATCCTATATTTTTATTGTATATATATTTTATTAATAAAGATTTTCAGTTAGAGGAACGTACAATGTATCATGTGAATTTTTTCACGGAGACATGTGATTATATTAATTCAAACTTTTGAATATATCCGCATCTTATACTAGCTTTACACGTATTATTTGCTTATATAATGTTTGTAGATTTAACTTTGATGTATCACAAGATCTTTCATACCCGATATAAAGAATTGTGTTTAGTTTGCATGTGTATTTCAGGTTTTATTCCAATGTTCTAATATCAATGCTATATATGATTGGGAATTTTTCTTCGCATAGTTCCGAATAATGCACCTAATTCGTGTCTATAAAGTATAATTTTATACATATATTTCTGTAATGATTATTCCTTGAGTGGACACCAATTTATCACTGCAAAGTACGCTTTAAAGGGCTAAATAATTATGTTTTCTTTTCAGATATGTAGTAATCTTGTTATATTTCGGCGTTATTATGCTATATTAAAAAAATCTGTATCATATACAATAAAAGTTATTATCAATTATGCAATCCGAATTGAATTTACTAGAAGAGAAAGCTAAGGAAGCCACACTAACCTGAAGCTAAGTATGCAGAGCTTAAGGCCGAGAATGCAGATATTAAGGCTGAGAATATAAAACTTATGGATGAGAATGCCAAACTTTTAAAAGAATTATAGAAGAATATGTTAAAAATGAGGCTGATATAGCTAAATTAAAAACAGGTTCGCAATATCCAATCCTTTTTGAGCGTATTAAGACTACAATTCTTGAGCTTGAGACAAGGAATGCAAAATTAAAACCAATTATAGAGGAATTTACAAAGAAATCAGAATCTAGCCACCTTGTGACTGGCAAGAAAAATCGCAAATTTCAGACTAAATGCATTCAAATAGCCGAGGAAATTCCTAACGAGGAACCAATAATTGAGTATCGCCCTCCCTTCTTGAATGGATTGGAATTTGATGCCTTCTTTCAAAAATATCGAATCGCATTGGAGGTACAAGGAAGTCAGCACCGATTTCACAACACTGGTTGGTATAAGGATGTTAAAAAATTCGAAGATATTGTTAATCGTGATCGTTTAAAAAGATGCATGTGTCAAGATAACAGAATTTTTCTTCTTGAGGTATGGTATAACGAAAAACCTAAAATTGTCATCCCTCAAAGAATACAAAAAATTAAAAGTTTCGTTAATCAAGCTTCTAAAATTTTTGATCTATAATGTCCCTCTCACATAGTGAGGATTTTTCGCATCTAAACGGTTTTGCGTATAATTTATATCCGGCAAATTTGTCAAGGATTTAATGTTTCACATATTCTGATAATACATATCTCATATCTCCGATATCAATGACATTCAGATAAATTTACAATTTATTTGTTAATAACACGCGATTGATAAAAACCAAAATAGTAACTTCTGATGTAACTTTTACATAATTTGATTAATAATAAGAATATAGAATATTCCTGCCTTACAATTGTTGTATAAGGATCAAAAAAAATTAAATATTAAAAATTCTCTTTCTCTACAATATCAATTAAAATAAGAATTTTTCAATTGATTAACGAACAAATCCATTTTTTTTTATGAATCGAAAAAATCCAAATAATTTATTATTACATATAAACATATCAATATATATAATAATTGTTATAGTCAATCTTCCAGTAATTATTTTTGCGATTATTACTTATCTCGGATTGTAACAAATAACAATAATCTAACCTTTTCAGTTCTTTCCTGTTTATTTCTTGAATGCCGTAATTGCCTACTTTGGTTATCTGATACTGAAAAGCCTTGTAACACTCTTTTTTAATATGGCAACTATTACTGACGTGAAATCTAAAGACGCTTTCCGTATTCAGGAATTTTTGTAACGTTATACATAAAATAACTGGTCAAAGGTATTATTGTTCTCATTACTCAGATTTACAACAAAAAAAAAGAAAATGGTTCAGTGAAAGGCATGTCTGATGAGGTATATATAATGGCATGATGGTATTTAAAAAGAATGAATGCAAGTATTTATGGTTAATGTCCTTCTGTTTTTAAGATCCGCGCTAAAATCGAACAAGAAATGAAGGGAAGGGATTCAGGAATTGTAACAATTAAATTTTCTGCTGAAGAACTTGGAAACCTTAAAGTACGCGAAGATATTCACAATGCCTTCAACGCAGAAATAATTGGAAATGATCTATTTATCAAAGTAAGTTTCACTATGGCTTAAATTTTTCTTAAATTATTGTTAATTTTTGTATCATTTCAGTTTGATTCTGGAGGAAAGGAAGCAATTCATTACGAACTTGTAAATTCGTTTAAAAATCAATGCAAGAATCAAGAAAAAAATTGGTGGACAAGTTTTAACACTATATGTGTAGTCGGAAGTAGAGAGCTCAGACCGGATTTAGGTGTGTGGTTCCGGAAGCCGACTTTTCCACAAATGTTTAGGCCTCTCATTTCTTCATGCCCACATCCCAATGTTTGGATTGAGGTAATTTATTGACTTTTTGCTTTAAAATATGAGCGATATTGTTTAATAGACATTGATTGTGTTTGTAGGTGTTTTACAATTACGAAAAAGATCGTGACCATGCATTCGAGAATATCAATTGGCTTCAGGAAAATACAATTGGCGTCGAATTTGTAGCAATAGCAGTTCCATATGGAGTAACCCCTTTTCATTCGAACCCCGAACCTGAAGCTGGCATGGCTCAAGCAATTAGTCAACTTACAAGACCTACCCGTGCACCATATATTTGTCACTGGGATTCGAATTATAATGAGATCTGGTACCGAATGGAATGGAATCGGTACATTGCACTTAGATGTGGTCTTGTAATAGAATTTAATATTGTGCTCAACATTTTGGCTGGAAACTACTAGAATTCAGCCATTCTTTTGAATGGGCCATTTCTCTTGTATACCTTTTTGCATAAAGATATGTCAATATGAAATGAGCGAAATGTACTCTAACGATAATAAAACTCAAATTCGCGTCGGTAAAAACATAGCGTAATTATAAATAACAATGAGAATAAAAAAAAAGTAATATCATATATTTATTAATATGCAATAACATTTACTACAATGTGGGGTAGCGGTGAATATTATGGTGAGAAAACTTACCGCCTTAAATGTTATATAAATAAATATCAGCAAATAGTATCTATAAAGGCATAGGATCGAATATCATATATCATTTTTTCGTGTAATTATGATCACATGGGGTTGCTCCCTTGGGGCTCTATGTCACATGCATTCGGATTAACACTCAATTATTAACACTTGCGAAACCGTGAATTAAAAATAACAAATAATTGATAACTTTATTGATAATAATTGTATATTTCAACATTATTTTTTATGCTACATTACTATGTAAAAGGCTGGCCTTGTAGAATTATTTGTGGAGTAGAGGGCAAAGAGGGAGGAATAAGCCAGGATTCTAGGCCCCTTCACATTGTAAAGTATAAATTGCTTCTAGATGTATTTTACATTGGAATTGAATTTGTTGATTTTTTTTTTTGACTTATTGCTCTAATCAGATTCCGAAAACCACTCTTTCTTTACTTTTGGAAAATCCTTCAGCTTGCTTAATTTTAATTGTAATATCATTATAATTTTTACATCATCTTCCCTTTAATTCCATAGTAATTATACGCGATTCTTCGTGGGTCGATGTCGAGCATCCCAACATTTAATAATTATGAATAGAATTTTGGTCGTAATCCATTTCATATTTGTCTAGAATCTCTATAATGTAACACATAATACCAAGAGAATAAACATCGGATGCTTTGGTATATTTCTGGAGCTACTAGGGCAATACACTAAAGATATTAATAGTTAGATATTATTTTAAAAACAATTTTGATGGAAACTAAAATTGGACTAAGATTTCCACACATAAATTTATGCATTTCCGGATCTTGTGTAATTCCATAAATTGGAAAGAGAAAGCTTTATTCCATGTTTTTAAATGAATTGCTATCGAAATATTATACAATTTAATTTATACAAATATTAATATAATATATAATTTAAAAAAAAAACAAATTCGCATATCTGATATTAATAAAGATTTTTATCTCATATAAGAATTCTTCAATTAATCATGCAAAACTATTTAAAACTTTTTAATTTTACATCCCGTTGACTCCACCTATTCTTATCAATATCCCATTCTTGAATTTGTCCATCGACCCACTTAACCTTATATATGATTCCAAATCTACCCTTTGCTATTTCCTTAGTATCTTTAAATCTATGATAAGTTTTCCATTCTATTACTTCAAATCAGCAATTTGTATTTAGTTAAGCATCTTGAATAAATTTATTTATTGTGTTGTTTACATTTACTAAAACCATTCCATTTTGAAAATGTTTCGAGTTGCACGGTAGGCACCACAAAAAGTAAGTACAATTCTTGATTCCATCCTGGACATGTTCTATAAGGTGCCTTTTTTTTTTCACTTATATTGCTTGTAAAACAAAATTTAGTTTCTTAATAAATAAATTTCATAATTTCATATGGATTCTCATATGCGAATTTATGCTAAAGGCAATTTTCTTGGACTTTATTTGTGTAATGAATTGTTAAATATTATTATATCGTTAATTTAACTCGAACAGTTTAAATACTTTTAATTTGGATAATCAGAATAAAAAGGAGATTAAAAGAAAGATTTTTGCAAAATAACTAAATATCCAACGATTATATTTATATTATAAATCTATATATCTAACAGTGCAGTGCTGTAAATAAACAATATCTATTAAATGTTAATTACTTTGTCCCTATAAATATTTGATTTTTTGTAAAAAAAATTTTCACCAATTTAACAGTACTACTATTATATTAATATGTATTAGATTTATTATTTTATAAACTTAATTATGAAAAGAAAAACCATGTTATATGGTTTTAGCTTTAGCTTGACCCTATTATTTTCAATTATCTTCAATTGTCTATAGATTTAAAAAATAATGATAACAGATAAATATAAGAATAAATAAAGGTTAAAATATTAGATACAAAATATAATGATAAATAATTTTCTATTGATTACACTTAAATAATTAACGAAATAATATTTATAATATTATAATTACACATAGTTTGTCCATACAATTATTTAAACGTTAAGATTCAATTATGTAATTACTAAGTTGTCTCTATTTTTACTTAGATGAACAGTAGGGAAATATAATATTTTTTTGGCTCCAGTAACCGAACCATTTAATTTACGTTAATTTGTTATGTTCAGTATACATTAAACATATTAGAAGAAAATATTAGATAAGCACAACAATAATAAATAATAACAAGTTGATCATTATATGTTATTTGTTAAAAATACGTTTTAATTCACATAGCTTTCTCGAAAATTTATAATAAATTATTAAAACCAATTTAAAAAACAATCTCGTATTTTTATGAAATAATGGAAATTTTATATTTTTTTTAATTATAAAATAAAAATAAACCAAATATGTACAAACAATAAAGATTAACTAAAACTTAAGTCTACTGCTCAACTTAATGTTACCAATGCCAAATTTAACATATTTTTTGTTTCAAATCCTTTTATATTATCAAGAGAAATTACTTTTTTAATAAATATTAAAAAATATTTTTGATAAAAATTCTTTAAATAAATTCTTTAATTATGAAAATAATCAATATAATTATAATTGTAAGACAGTTTATTTATTTTTTTTTGTTTGTAACAATTTTAAATTTATATATTGTTTCTGTAGCAATTTTTAAATCAATATTAATAATATTTGCTATTATAAGATTCAAGACACTTCATAATATAGTAATCCATTTTAATGAGATATTAAAAAAATTCCAATGTGACATCTATGCCCATGTCTTCTCTTAAAAATTTATATTTGAAATAAAATATTTTATAAAAAAGTACCACTGAAATGCTTTCTATTCATCTTTAATTGTTACAATTCCATAGCAATAACAATAACCAAGACCATTCTGTCCGTTACTATTTCCACCTTCAGCTGATTTCATGAACCACTGAAAATGCTTTCTCTTCGTTTCCAACACCATTTCTATAAAAATGGCCAAGGTTATTCTGTCCATCAACATCTCCACTTTCAGCTGATTTAATACACCATTGAAATGCTTTTTCTTCATTTTTTTGGTTCTAATTCCATTTTCTTTTCTATTCTGTCCACTACGATTTCCACCATCAGCGATTTCAAGTACCACTAAAAAGCTTTTTCTTTGCCATTTTTTGTTTGAATTTTATTGTATTGAAATTATACTCAGCATAATAAAGTGTTTATGAAATAAAACTTTGAAACTTGATATATTTTAAATAGAATATAAAATTATAGAGCTTTAAAAATTTATGATATACGAATAAATTATTATATTTGCACGTCAGTCATTTATATTTATTTACGGTTTGTCGGATAAGCTCTGCCTCGAATAATATTAATAGTTTTATTAGTATTTCATCAGAATTTTTATTTCTAACCGATTCAACATTTACGTTCATCTTATTAAAGATTGCCGTGTCACCTGATAAAAAATTTTTATGCCATAATTAAATTAATTAAATTAAAATGGCTACTGGAAATAATTCAAGTATTATATTTTATTTTATTAAAGCTGATTAAAATCTGAATGAAAACTATTGATATGAAGTATTCTAAATTCTTAGTTATTATTTATTCAGCATCGAAAAAATTTCGATCATATAAGGATTATTAATATACATATATTAATTAATTATTTTATTTTATTTAATGTAGCTGGTTCAAATAATAAATAATAAAGAGCTTACGAAATTATCTAAAGGAAAGATCACCAGTTAATTAATTATCAAAAGTGAACATGTGTTCAAAATTATTTTTTTAATTTATTCTTCATCTTAAAATTTAAATTTTGCTTCACAGATGGAATTAATTACCTTCTGGAGATGGAGATTTGATCTGTGATTTTCAGTTTAGAAAATACTATAATTTTTTATAATTGAAAATTTTATTTTATTATTCATTAGAATTATTTATTTCATATATTATATATTGTCGCGGTCTGCGCAGAACAATGTGGGAAGTCAAGCCAATCAATCTCAATAAATTTAGGATGATCACACAATAATTCAATGTATTATTAACACTCTTTTTCTCGTGCGCAATATCTCGGA